ATTTTTCGATATAAATTAATATATATAGTATTATATATATTATAATTTATTATATCGAAATATTAGATTAATATTAAATATTAATATAAAAAAGATTATAATAAGAATAAAATAGATAAAAATAAGATGAAATAGAGAAAAATGAATGAAAACAAAAATAATATGTTAAAAATATTTTTTGTTATTTTTTGTTCAATTGAAAATTTTATTTGAATTGAAGATTTTACGTTACTTCGTCACTTCGTTATTCTATATCTTATGAATTGATAAGGAAAGTTACTCAGAAAAAAGTGACGTACTCGTAGAAGGTGTTCGCAGAGTTTCTCAGTTAGTGGCAGAAAAGAAATCATTTGACGGAGAAAATGAAAATAAGAGACCAGATGTGTCCCGGATAAAAACTCGCTTCTGATTGTCACATCATTTTCTTTTTCCGTTCTTCCCTTTTTCTTCGAGCTCTCAATACCTAGTCAAACCATTCGTGGTTTTTATATCCAAGTCTTTCAACATATAGATTTGTAATCGCAACAATTATATAAAGATAAAATTGTAAAAGTTAAAAATCATGAGCTTTCCATGCTCGCTAGTTAGAGATATAATTTATAAGTATATCGTAGTAATATCAAATAAGTTTCTTTTCTCTAAAATAATGACTCATATAGTATAAATTATTCCAGTAATATTGCTGCAAGCTTCTATGCTATATGAATGAATTTAATTGCTACGTGATTATTTTATTCTAAGCTAATCTTTGATTGTGATCAGTAATTATTTTTTTATAGAATTGCATTTGAGATTAAAAGCTTATTTTTCTGATTGTTAAACTCTACGTTATAGTTATTTTCTTACATGAAGGATCTCCGATTTCGTAATCCAGATATTATTAGTTAAATCTTCCGTGCAGTCTCACACGGTCTCTTTATGATCTTGTAGCACTGACGAAGATATCACAGGTCCTCGTGTAAGAGTGGAAGTTTCGCTTAACGATGAAAGTACCAAACTCATAACGCGAGCCGATAGGATCGGTTAATTGTTCTTACAGAAAATTTCTCGGACGATAAGGATGTCACTCTCAATTTGCGGAATAAGATATGAGATAACTAATAACATTGATAAGAACGTGAAGTAGGGAAAATATAAGCCAAGATTTTAAGGATGAATTCGAAGGACAGAAACTTAGGTCTTTCTTAGCTTGTAATTGATAACGATGAGATGTGGACGGTTTATCTTCTTTCCGTCCAGAGATGGTATACGGATCAGTCTAGACGCGCCTAAAACTTACATGAAGGTAATGAAAGCCTCGCTCTCTTCCGTCTTCCATCTTTTAGACGTTTGCGTTCCGTTCCACCGGATATCCGCTTGATCTCCTACGTTGTTTTTATTTGTTCACGATTCTCGAACTTTTCATGCAGCTTTCTCTTGGCTGTTTATTAAGAAAACTTTTATGAATATCTAAACGCATGTGATAACGACATATTCTTCAAATATTATAAAGACATTTATACGTGCGCGATATGTATCATCGAAATGCCATAATCTTACATTTTTTATTCGCGCGTTTCATGCAGTGGCTAAAAGAAGATAATATTGTTATATATCATCTTCTGCGAAATAATTTTATGCAAAAGTGGAAAGATGTCACTGCAAAACATTTTACTCGGGTAATTGTATTTGTTATTATTTTATACTAATATAAATAAAAATCGTTTCACTTATAATTGAACTAGCACATTGTATGTATTTTTTCTATGTATGAAATTATCTCAAAAAAGAACATGTGCAAATATTTTTTTTATCCGTTATATGTATATATATTCGCGGTTTGTACAACCATTTTTCATATTCACTGACCTAAAGGTCGTTTATTCGCAGAGAGTTGATATGACTGCAGTTCGTTGCAGTTGCACTTTTTTCCGAAATCCTTTTTAAATTTAAAAGTTCTTTGAAATTTGAAAACAATTTTTTAAACAGAATCTCTAATATGAAAGATATGAATATATAAAAGAAAGGAGAGACAACGCGTATCAAAATAAACATTAAAAATACAAGAATTTGATTAAAAAAAAACAATTGCATGTATGCATATAAATACTAGGATTATAAAGAATAGAGGTATTATTAGAGACATGTGATATTATTTAATTTTGTTTCATAATTTTTTTTCTGTAACTGTTAGCGTTTCAGAGTTATTATTATCTAGTTTATTTTGATAGGATCATCACATCTTGTATATCATTTATAATATAATATCGCACTTCATATTTTCGTACAAAGATATATTGCAACTGTGCTCTGATTAAAGTGATGCATTCTCTATTGCTTGAAATCAAACATAAATGCATCATAGACTGAATGTATTATATACTGGAAAATTATAGGCAAAGTGACGAAACACCATTTCACACGTAAATCAAAGATAACGTCGATAAAAGCAAAATATAATTATAGCCGAATATAATTGCTATGTTTAATCCGAAATTTTCATGGAAATGATGTGCGATCGCACTGTGTGTGATCAATGGTGCTGTGGTGAATGAATATTATATGTATTAATATAATTTTCGAATAGTTGTCTTCTTCTATAGGAAAAAGTACACGTTGTGTTATTTAAATAAAAGTATTTAAATTAAAGTATTTGTTTATCGATCATATCAATACGTATCAGTCATGTGCTAAATAATATTATTATTGCGATACGATTTTATTTTATTTACACATTATTGTCAAAAATTAACTCATATTGTGTAGTAAAAAATAAATTTTTATGTATCATCTATATATGCATCATATACATCATGTAATATTTTTGGATAAATATACATGTATCGAATATTACTATAGAAATTATTATAAATATCCATTTTTTAATGTGTGATGCTGTCTATCCAATTAATATAAAAATTCAACATTTTTAAATGCACTTTTCTCTTATTACTTGACAACGTTACCATCACAAATCCAATCTTTCATCAAGATTAAAATTACATTAAAATGAACATCGGTAAAATTTGAATTTAAATTACTTCTTCCATACGTGTTTGTTTTATACATTCCAAACGAATTTTTGTTCGAGGCATATACACACGTATGCACATTGGACATCGCGAAGAATAAAAATTCACCGACTTCATTAACAAGCACTCTTGCGATTCCGCATTTAAAATTTGTTATTCTCAAGTGTAATCTGTTTTATTTTTTGTATCGCAATGTAATAAAGAAGGAGATATTCTAAAAAATAATCTAATGATTAATAATATTTACAACATATATATATATATATATATATATATATATATATACGTAATTGTTTCATTAAAATGATATAACCACGTTGAAAAAACGTAGTTTGTTCGTATCACTGATTACGTTTCACGCGGATATTATTCTTGGATATTATCCGCTTGCGGGATATCGCATTCGGACGTTTTCGAGTGACGCGAGATTACGAAATCTGGAAGAGTATGTCCAAACTCATCCCAGTAGTTTTACGCTCTATTTCGTGTGAGCAAACTCACCGGTGATTTTTCACGAAAATTAAATGTCACGTGAAATGAGTGCACGGCACATCTCCGACTTGCTTCTTGATAAAGAATGGGTGATATTATTCTAATGGTGCTGCAGCCGCATCCTACATGATTCTACCATCAACCGTGCTCATCAGTCTTGTATATCGTATGTTTCGTTCCGCGATGTTGCTCTTCGGTAAACGTGGACTGTATGTTTCTATTATACCGTTTTTGCACGCTACGGTTGTTATTTAATAAAAGAAATTTGATAGGTCGGGCTATACATTTTGCGTAAACCTTTCCTGCGAGAGTTATGTTTAGAAATCGCGAGTCGGGTGAAAAAAAAAAATAGTATACAATACATTAAAACACGCGATGTTTTTTAAAATGATATTTACTTATTCGGTTATTTACAAGCATTTACTTAGTGAAAATTGTTTTAATCAATTATCATTTGTTTGCATATTACACTTGTGCAAGTAATTTCAAATAAAATTTCTTTTATGTACATGAATGAAATATAAAATTAATATCCGTTATCCGTTACATACTTACGCGACATTAGCAAAATGTATATGCATGCCTATAAAATATTATAATATAACATGCGAAATAGTGACTTTTTGATGATAATATGTTGCTTTTGATTTACGTCACGTTGTATCTGTATATTTGTGTGTGCGATCACGCCTTTTCATGGAATATTTATTTATCCACTAACGTTAATAAGGTAACATACCAATATTTCACAAGCGCTGTTTTCAATTTTATCTGAATCGGGATTGGCAAAACGATTTCGATCATGAATGTTACATTTATTCATGGCAGACGCGCGCAGAGAGTAAATTATAATTCCATTATAAGCAATAACATATAAAAATGTAATAGAATTACTATCTCTTGCGAAACAAGAATAAAATTTCGGCTTAAATGATATTTCAAACGACAAAGAGTTTCAAACAACTAACACTAATTCTCAACCACATTTCGTTAAAATAAAAAACAAAAAAAGTTAACACCATGACACGTGAATTTTGGGACAAAACTTGACATATAACATTAGATGTTGCAATTATTATTCCATGCAAATTATTCATGGTGGTTTTCTTCGAAGGTAATTCGTCGGTGTTGCAACTCACATGCACAATGTTTATAAGGAAAAAGGAGAAGAAGAAGGGAACAGGCTCTCTCAAATGAGGGGACAATGCGTGGTGCTGAGAGAACATAGTGCAAGAGAGGGCAAAAGGAGAATAGACAGATAGCTGGCGGGAGTAGACCCGACTAAGAAAAGTCGAAAATCTTAATTCGGGCGCGGTGCCGCCCTCGCAACGCGATGGGCGGTGACTCGCAAGCGCCGATTGGCCTGGTTCAGGAAAGGGTGAGAGGTCTTGTACGGGGGTGGCAGAGATCTGCGCCGTGACGTCGGGACGGCGGCGTGTGCCGCCGACCGGTTCTACTGGTCTTGTGTGAATGCCAGTCGACGCCGGGCGTCCCAAGCGCGCAGTTGTTGGGATTTGTTCTCGTACCGCGCCTAGATCGAACACCGGGTCCTCACGTAACTGACAAGCGACGATATCGCGCGTCGACATTCGCGAGGATCTACATCTCGCGATCTTGCTGAGTAAAGAAACGAGAAATATCGGTGCATTCCTTTTCTTCTTGGAACAATCGATATTCGGTATACAACAAGATATGCTTGTTGACTTGAAGAAGTGACATTTACGCAATCTCTCGATTTGGGACACGCCGTCTAGGATGTATCGCGGAGACATAATCTTTTACAAAATTCTGACATAGTCCCAGGATCAGTCCTCTTGATGAAAAATTGCACCGGGGATCCCTCGGGTCAACGTGAGAAGTGTTTTAACGCTTGTCCTTACTGGACTCCCGAGGGACGGAACGAGTGTCGTCTCGAGGTAATTGGCAGTGACTGGAGAGACTCGACTGTCGGTGAACCGATAGAATGCGAATGCGGATCTTATACTCGTGACATCGAATTTGTTAATCGGATATCGGTGATGCAGCTACATGCTGGAAGGAGGAAGGGGATGACTGTTAATTTTCTACCGAGGATGGTGGCGGTCTTTGTTTTCGCTTGCCTTCTACTGCAGAATGGTCGGTCGACATTCGCAGCGTTTACTACTGGTAATGTTAAATTTGTCTTACCGCGATCTTTCGAAGATAAAGTATATGTATAATTGTTGATTTTGGTTTAGTCAAATTATTTTCATTTATAATTCTATATATGAAATTATAACTAACCGATAAATCTGTTTCGTATAATAATTGAAGCCAATAATTTATTAAAACACCTATGCAATAAGATTTCTGAAGGTTTCGTGAGTCTTAAGTATAAATTTCTTTTTAAAATGCAAACTGACATTTATACTTATTAAAAAAAGTCATATACGTTATATTTACAGTATTCTTATTATTTAGCTCGATGTTTCTTTTTTTTTGTTTAAAAAGATACAGTATTTTAATTTTCCTTATTTTTTCTAAAAAAATATTACTGTCGAGCTGAATAGCTTGCCAATTGAAAATAAATCCTCTTATTTTTCAGTCAAGAAATATGATTTAAAATAATTTATATTATACGTATATATAATATTCGTGTATTATAAATTGGCGTTCTTGGTTTGGTTTACAACAGAGGTGATAGATAACTTTATTATGAATTTGTATACATAATTATTATAATTATCTATATAATACGATATATATTATAATTACATTAATCTATAGCGTTGTATCAATTATAACGGTTTAATTCCGCTATTAATTATATAGTTCCAGTTTTGTGCTTGATTAGTATATATTTCAAAAGTTTCATACGATCTAAATATAAACTATTTATCTATAAACCACATATCCCCCGCTGGTATCTCCCACGTTCGTTTGTATGGTGACTTAAACCCATACTATTCGATCGGTAATCTCGGATTTCATTTTGGTCACGTTAAATCTGGTGTTGACAATGGTACACAATGTTCCGATGTATAGCTTTGCAACGTTATATACGACGAAAATGAATTACTAATTTGCACTGTGAAGTAATCAGTGGATCAGTAAAATACAAATTTTAGAGATCAGTTCTTTATAAGAAAGAAAAATTATACATATTTTTAAATTTAAAGTCGACCACTCTTCTTACATACACTCTTCTTACATGTATATATATATTTTTTTCCAATTAAAACAAAAATTCAGAAAAATTTTATACAATAAATTCAAATTTTGCAATACAATATTTATCTATATACATATATAACAATACCTTATCTAATATTATATGTATATTATATATAATATAAAACAACACAATGATATGTTATTTTTATATTTGTATTAGGAAGAATTATCTTTTTTTAAATATATAGATATTATAGATGTGATTTCGCTCTAAATCTAAAAATTCGTTGATTACAATCTTTAAGAAATAAAAAAGATAATCATTCATTAATGATACAACGATAATATCATCGATTTATTATTACATGGCTAATTGATGGTGAAAAAAAAAACATTTCTTCACGTTATATTTACGAAATAAAATTCATACTCATAGGACATGTAGCATAAAATTAATACGCACGACACTCTTCTTTTCGACGCAATTGAGGTGATCATCGTCGTTTCGAATGACACGTCTTTTCGTTCTCCCTCGTAAGCACTATCACGAAAAAGCTGCTCGAGGGGCTCTAATACCCGAGCTTGCTGAAATTACGCTTCAATGGCGAAATTGCGCTAGGAATGAGCTACGTCCTGCGCGCGTGCTTCACATGCATAATTCATAAGCGAGGCGTCACGGTGAAACCTCGGGCGATAAATATTTTTTGAGGACGGAAGGATGTAAAAGTGCATGCAAATGAATCTGACTGTAATGCAGTGGCTACTACTTACACGGGTATTAAGCTCCCGACCGGCACACTTTTCTTTCCGCATACTCGCCTTTTACTTCCACTTTATTATTTCGCGTATACTCCACAATTAAACGGCGAGCGAATAAAATTTTCGGAAGTGGTAGAGTACGAAAGCAGATGCAAATTAATGCTTCTCTTTAAGTCGGTGTCGTTTACATCGTAGTACACGCCTCATCGTAGTTACACGAAGTTTTTTTTTCCTTACATTTCGTTTCTTTATAAGAATTTATATAAGACATTTATTGTAGCTATCGTTGTGAGATGCGTGTTGTAAATATTATTATGTAAAACTTTTATTTTAAATGATTTATAATTCACGTCAGAATGTAACATTAAAAAAAGAATAAAATATTTAAAAAGTGTCACCACACACACACACACACACACACACACACACACATGTACATAAAAAAACATATATGTAGTAGACATATTAAAATCCAATTTTATATATCAATTTTAAATACTATTTTATTCTAAAATCATTTAAAGTGAATTTTTTGTTATAAATGTTTAAATATTAAATGTATGAATATTATTTCGGATGTTGCATAAATATAACAATGTATTTATTGTGTAATAAGAATAAATGCAATAAATTAATAATTTTATTGAAAAGAACAAAAATTTTATTAATTTTTATTACAATTGGAAATTGTATATATTTAATAAAATATTAATTAAAATTCTTTATGTGAACTAATATGAGAGTACAATTACATGTGCATATACATATATTGTACAATATGTATGAAGATTAAAGTAAACATAAAATTTGAAAAATAAAAGACAATAGAATTTCGTGAGAATTTCTGTAAAATATTTGAAAACAAAAATGCGTGATCGGCTGGCCATCAATCGAATTTACTCTACTGAAACAATGTGGATGCGTTAAGCCTTGGGGTGGATGGCGTGATTTCCAAATCCAATTGTCTTTACGAACGCACAGATTGTCGGACTTGAAATCGGAATGGCGAGTGGCCATTATCATCCCACTCCCTCCTCTCTCTCTCTTTCGGTGGCAGTCGCGGTGGATGCGAATTTTATACGGTGGTCATTCAATTCGCATGTTACTGCCCTCGAGTGCAATCTCTTAGGTAGCGTAGTCTCGCGTCGAATAGAAATAGATAGATCTCCACGATCGGGAATATGGAGGATCTCTCATTGTCTCCATATCTGATCGCACTGAACGACGAATAAAACCACTTTTAGTCTGGTTACTGCCGATTGCCTTGCCATCGTTACGTTTAATACGTACTTGGTGTACGAACCCGATATCCATTTCTGCCACCGCCACCGTTGCTGCGCTTGTCTAATTTCAATGAATTATTGAAGAAATTTGATAACCGTTGTTGAATCGCGTTATTGGCTCTTTTTGTACGCATTTATTGATATGTCTTATCGTCGATGTGTAAAGTTTTCTATTCTTAGTTAGTTTTCTATTGTTAGTTTGTATTGGTCTACTCTTCCCTTCCTCTTTCTTATACTTTTTCTCTTAACTGTCGTTCTCTATACCAGAGGCTATACCGCTTTCCCAACTATTCTCCGCGAAATTATCTCATAGCCTAAGGGTTGCCATCTGTTTCGATAGGGGAAGCCACCCCTAATTATGTACGGCGACAGTTGTAAGGGTGCTAAATCTAATATCTAATGTCCTCACAGAGCGCAAGGGCTGTGTTATACGTGTCGAAAATACGAAAGATGTCCATACATTTTGGTCAATTGTTCAGCCTCTGTAAAAGGCTCGCATCCCCCTCAAATAATCATGGTTACGATACGATTTATCAAAGGAGAAAAAAATTCTTGGAAATCGTTTAGAGATTCGATACTTATGAATTAACGTGCAATTCCGAAATACCTTTTTTATACGTATTACAACATTATAAGATATTCACATAATTATATTGTATAATTATATTTTTATAATTCACGTAGTAATAGTTTATTTAAATTAAAGTCCCAATCAAATTTATTTGAAGAAGTTGTTATTTGCAATTTATTTTTCAAAATTTATTTTATAAAGGTAAATTTTCATATGATAAAAAAATTCTGCTTTTGTATATTGATACCTTGTCGAAAACTATATTAAAGTTAAATTTGGGAATTCACGTGAAAAGGAGTAGAAGTATTTTTATGATATTTTGAGAAGCATTTTATATAGTATTTTTACAAGTATTTTTTCGGTACTTCAAAAAATATCTTTCCTAATATATTCCATCATCTTTTTACTATTTTATTGTTACATTATTATTTTTACTATTTTATTGTTACAATATTTATATAACTTTATTGATATAATATCCACAAGGTATAAATGTATGTGTATAGGTGTACGGCGATCGTGCGTCATCTGCCTTTAAGTGGGATAAAGTGGGTGGACTGGGAGTTGTTCGCTTTTGAACGTATACATTCGTATATATGTATAAACAGAGAGAGAGAGAGAGAGAGGGGGGAGGGGGAGCTTCATGTGCTGCGCACCCCTGGGATTCTCGCTTCATGCATTTTATATTTCGGCAGACTTTGATTCCTAGACGGGCCGTACGGCTCACGGGAGTAATCCTTAATCTTTGATCGGAAATTATCTTTGATCATGGTTCAGTCATTGAACGTTCTTTCTCGACCCTCTTCTTATCTCTCTGCATCCCTCGGGCAGGTACCTATCCGTGTATGGCAGATACGCTAACGTTTTCGTTGAGGGAGAAAATTTTGAGTAAAAATAGAAAAAAGGGAGCAGAGACATGAAATAATAATTTCCTGAAAGAAATATATCTTAATTTTTTTTACTAATGTGATATACGAACGAGAGAGGGAATAAAGTAGTTTATAATGTTACGTTTTTTTTTAATACTTATGTACTTGAAAAAAATTGATTTTGCGTTATAATAAAAATAAGTTTTGCGAATATGTTTCAATAGACATTTTAAGTTAAGTTGTATTTCGTATACGAATTTACAATAAATCTATGTTACATATGTATATATTTGCAAAATTTATAAATTTTATTAATGTACTATGAAATAATAGATTTTATATTATTAATTATTAGATTATAAATTATTATCATATTATCAAATTATCTATTTTATTTAATATTATATAAATTATTGTATTGTTAAAATTTATTATTACAATAAATTATGTAATAATCAGTATTAATTATAAAACAACCTTGTATTTTTTTATATTAAAATGTTATCGCATAAATATACATAAATTATTGAT